AAAAAAAAAAAAAAAAAAAAAAACTGTCTTAATAGTGAGAGTGTGAAGGTAGGGTATGAGAAAGTCACACTGTCATAAGAGAGCTGGGACAGGATCCCTCTCTGCTCCCTGAGACTGTGTAACCCTGGAGGAGTCATTCCTCCACTCGGGAGACTGAACTAGATATTTGTAAAGATTCTACTAAATCCTAAAATTCTAAGGTGCTAAACTCTTCCCTCCGCTCCTCCCCACCAAAAAACCAAACAAACAAAAACCCAAATTACTCTTCCCTAAATGCCATCACCATCCAATCCTTGAAATTTAGAGAAAATGGTAAAAAAAAAAAAATGCAATCAGGCAAGCAGATTTTCAAGTATTCAGAGAAAACTATCTCCATTCAGTATCTTTGAGGCTAATTATTTTTGGGTCCCTAGACTAACTCAGGTCTCAAGCACTCTTCTGCTGAATACAGGGGAGCAGCTGTCCCACAGCACAATGGATACCATGTAGTCACGCATAGAAAGGTTGGGAAATCACCTTACAAGGTATAGTCCCCTGCTCAGCGGGGCCAGGAGGGTCTTATAGGCATCATTCACCAGGGTCGCATGCTTCTCTGAGAAGTCTTTTTCAGTCTGTTAGTGGAGATGAAGATAATCTTATTACCATCGGTATAGCCACATTACATTCACAAACTGTTTCATAAAATACTGATGGGCCGGCACCTAAGGAAGTCATCAAAGTAGAACTGGTGTGGGATGAGCTGTCTTTATTTTCAACAGATGGGTTCTAACTCTTCTGGGAAGTCAGGTAAAAGCTGTGAGTGCAGGGTAGATCCAGGGCCTGGCAGTCTGGGGTCAAGCTGTCCCAGGGTGGAGCTGGCTGTTTAGCTCTGTCTCTGATAATCACATCACTGCAAAGCCACTGCTACCCACCCCACCACGCACTAGTGTTTGGGTATGATTAGGGGTGGCTCACAGGCTACCTGAGACCTCTGGCTGAAGAAATCAGGGTGGACAAGACGCTGTAGCTGCTGGTACCTATTCTGGAGCTTCGCTGTGTCCACTCCGAAGGCACGGTTGCTGTAAGGAAATTGGGAGATAAAATTCATGCTTCAAACATTTTTGTATTTTTATACTGTGGGCCTGGTTCCTGTTCTCATGGGGGAAGATGCAATAAACATGTAGAGAGAGAGATAACCTTAAAAAGTGGTAGGTGCTGTGAAAGAGAAAAGGGTCAAAAAAATTAAAAAAAAAAAAGAGAAAAAGGTCAGAGAAAGGGGTAGATGTGGTGGACAAAGAGATGACATTTCAGCTGAGACCTGAATAATGATGAAAAATAATCAGGGGTGCCTGGTTGGCACAGTTAGGCGACACACTCTTGGTCATTATCTCAGGGTTCATGAGTTTGAGCCCTGTGTTCTGGAAGCTGCTTGGGATCCTCTCTCTCTGCCCAGCCCAACCCCACCACATAAATAAATACACTTAAAAAAAAAAAAATCAAAGATGAGAGGAAAAAGTCATGCAGAGGCAGAGGGAACATGCAAAGGCCCTGAGGTGCGAACGAGATGGGCGTGTTCCAAGAACTTAAAGGATAGTGTTACTGCAGCCCATCATAAGTATGCAGTGACTGGCAGGGGCAGATCCCAGAGTTAAGGGGACCATTTCGAATCCCACCCGATCTTTTGAGAGGCCAGGTCCCTTCATCTTAGTCTCCCACTTTATTTTAACCCAGTCCCTTTCACTTTCTATTCGTGGAGTCTGCCCTGTCATAATAGTTTGGCTCGGTCCAAACTTCACCTCTCTCCAAGCTCCTCGACCATTGGAGGAAAACAGGAAAAAGTCATTTCTCAGTCTCTCTCCTTCCAAATCTCCTTTCTCCCTCAGACTCAGACCACAACGTTCAGTTTTTCTGTGCTTTTACACACTATTTTGTTTGTTTTTCTTACTAGATTATCCATTTATTATAAAGGGATGTAACTCAGGAGCAGTCAGATGGAAGAGATGCGTAGGTGGAAAGTTCCGGGGAGCAACCAAGCCCTCTAGGCGCACTATTCTCCCAACATCTCCATGTGTTCACAAACCTGGAAGCTCATTTACTCCCTTATTTTGCATAACACCTCAGTACCCCTTTCTGAAAATCCTCACTCCAACTTTAACCATTTTGACCCTGTCCTTCAAGCCTGCTTTCTCTGGCACTCCAGTACATTTCCCTCAGGCCCCGCCCCTCAGCTTCCCTTCTCAGGTCCCAACCCTCCCTCCACTGAAGCCTCCTTCAATTCCCCCAGAATTCCATCCCCGCCCTTCCAGTCCTCCCTCCATTCTGGTCTCTATCGATCAAAAGCCTATCCTTAGGCCCACCCCTCAATTTCCTCTCTTACCGGCCGCAATCCCACCCTCCCAGTCCCCGCCCCCAGTTCTCTAGGGCTCCGCCCATCGACCTAACGGGTCCCGCCTTCTCCTTCCCAAGCATGATCGGCCCTCCACGCTAGTTCGCCAGTCCCGGATGTGTCTCTCGCCCGGCGCATTTCCTGAAACCGCCTTCCGTACCAGTCCATGAGGCTGAAGTAATCTCGAGTGAGGTCAGGTGGCTGCAGCGCGCGGCACTGTGGGCAGAAGAACCCGTCTCCCCGCTTGGGGACCCCTGGGCCGCCGCAGTTCCAACACTGGGGGGAATTGTTTCCGGCCAGAGACGCAGCATTGCAGCCTAGAGGTCTCCGCCCGCGGACCCCTGCGGGCCACAGCCCCCACACCCGGAGCAAGGCGCCGGTCCTTCCGCCCCACATCTGGCCGCGGCCTGTCTCGCCACGGTCACCTGCGGGGGGAAACCGTGAGCGAGGGCCCAACCAGACTACTGCTGCTGATTGGCTGGGCAGCTAAGGGGGCGGGATAACCCGGGGGAACCTGGATTCTGGGAATCCCGCTCCTCATATTAAACTACAACTCCCAGAAAGCATTGAGGCTACGCGTAGACGACCACATCGGCTGCTTTTCATTGGTCTGGCGGCGGCGGAGGGCTGTTTTGATTGGCTGAGGGTGGAGTTCGTATGTGCTTGTTTAGCGCCACAGTGCTGGCTGCGGCTGCTGTGAGTTGTGTGGCTGCAGGTGGGCTCACGCGGTGAGTCATAGTGGGGAACTTTCTCTTGGGTGTTTGGGGGGTTCGATTCCCGTTTTTGGGGTCTTGATGCGAGCTGAATCTCCCGAATTTTCACTTTGGTTTTTGAGCTTAGTTTGGGGGAGGAGAGGAACGCGTGGGCGACTGTCTTCCTTCGTAGATGAACTTCGAGGTGAAGTTCACTTCCCCTGTTACTTACAAGCTGAAACTGGCCCAGACGTGCATGGTAAGAAAGAACAAAGTTGTGTTCTTCAAAATCAGAGGGAAGTTGCTTTGTAAAGAGTTATATACATGTTAGTAATTACTACCATATTTTAGATTCAATTTAGAAAAAAAAAAACCTATTGAGAACTCACTCTTAGCTGCTAGGCGCTGCAGGAACTGGAAACACACTGACCTGTGTAAGAGGATGTCCTGCGAGTGTCCATAAGTAAGTGTGTGGGATGGCTTGGCGAGGAGAGGGTAGGAGGGCACCAGTCCACCTTGGGATTCAGTTTCTCTATCTGGAAAAAAAAAATGTGTTACACTTGTAAACCCTTTTCCGGTTGTCTGATTCTTTGGGACTGGAATTCTGTTCTCCCAATTATCAAGCATTGCTGGGGGAGGAACGTTCATGTGTCATCTCATTTAATCCTCAAGATCTATCTACTCCAGATTTGTTTGCCTCTAACCTTTCCATATACTTCCTCCTCATGGCTGAGAGTAATGTATTTTCCGTTTGGTGGACCCTTACCAATAAGCAAGCATAGCAGCCACTACTTGACACAGTCTTTTCCCAGTTTTCAGGGTGGAGAAGTCTCGCTCAAAAAGCTGAAATAGGTTGCAACCTTGACCGAGGTAGTATTAGAGCTGGCGTACTCAGCTCTGGCATCACCTTACTGGTGTGGCTTAAGAAGAAGTCATCAGGATCTTTGTATTTGGAAAGCTATATAAATGTCAGTATGAGTAATGTTTACTGTGTTCTCCTGGAGGAATACCTGAGTATGGATATCTGGGGAGAAGAGAGAATGCCCCTCTCCCCTCTTTATAAAAATCACATTAGGGATTTAAAGTTAAGGATTGACTTTACTATAATTTCTGTTATTAAACTGTCCATCAAGTTAATTCTAAACAAGGGTGGGAACCTCTTATGGTTTCGGCAGAATTTTGTTGGGCTGGAAGGCCATTTAGGATGCTGAAAAGATGAGCATAGTAACTTAGCATCACAAAGTGCTAGGTGGAGTTGTTTAGAGCAGTCTTCTTTGTGTTCTGTCTCATTAAGTAGCCTGGCCCTTAGTTAGGAGTCAAGGAATCTAGAATGAACAAACAGGATGTGGTCTGCACAGTCTTGGGGCAGGTTTGGGGGAGGAGGGGCATTAGTGACATTTTACATAAATGGTCACCTCTTGAGTGGTGCGGTGAGTTAGTATATAGTTTCTCTTTAATCATCTTCTACTCCAATCCACACTAACATTCCCTTTCTTTCTTGTTCCAAAACATGACATTTAAGTGTAGTGTTGATTGTATTAGTGAATACCTTTTAGGTTTCATTTCTAATTAAAAAAAAAAATTAAAAAATTAGATGAATGTAAGCTGTTATCAGTCTTCCCTCCCACCCCCAACTTAGTTAATTGCTTTTAGCTTATTTATAACCTTCAAATAATTTTTTTCTTTCTTTTCCCTGTGGTTTGTGGCTGCCCTACAAAACACTGATCTGGTGAAAGTGATCTGATGGCAACCTCAGCCCACAAGAACTATAGATCTATTTAGATCTATATTTTTGAAATATTTAATTTTTTTTTAAAGTTGATTGATTTTGAGAGAGAGAAAGAGAGTGTGCACTCATGTGTGGAGGGGGAGGGGTGGAGAGAGAGAGAGAGAGAGAGAGAGGGAGAGAGAGAGCCTAGCAGACTCTTCCATGTCAGCACAGAGCCCAATGTGGGGCTCCATCTCACAAACCGTGAGATCATGACCTAACCCGAAATCAGGGGTTGGATGCTCAACTGACTGAGCCACGCAGGCTTCCCATAGACTGTTAGAATTTTAACTCTTGCAGAACATGCATGCTCCGGATTTTTTTTTTTTTTTCTGATGTAAATATGTCCGTCCTTCACTCTTGACCTTCAAGTCTTGTTCCTTGAAACTTACCTTATATTGGCCACTTATTTTTGAGGTCGTAATGTCTCGGGAGACGGATGTGGAGGGTCAGCCGCCCCATGGCAGTGGTGCCTGTTCACAGTCCCAAGGCAGCTTCTCGCAGTCTCAAGGCATCTCCTCCCAGACACATGGCTCCTCCTCACACTCGCAGGGCACGTCCAGCTCTTCCACCAACACAGCACCCACATCCAGCCAGTCCTCTCATTCCAGCTCGGGGACTCTGAGCTCCTTAGACACGGTGTCCACCCAGGAACTCTGTTCGATTCCCGAGGACCAAGAACCGGAGGAGCCTGTCCCTGCCCCTTGGGCTCGATTGTGGGCTCTTCAGGATGGATTCACCAATCTTGGTAAGACCCTTGGTTATATTGTGTAATATTTTAGTTGTAGAGAGTTGTAACAGAAAGCTTAAGACCGTCTGGAATGATCCCGGAGTTGGAAGGTGATGAAAGTTGGAACCAAGAAAGCAGTTTTGGGGGAGTTTACTGACTCTCACTTGCTGTGGATCCCCCTTCGTTTATTCTTTCAACAGGTGTTATTGGGCATCTGTAATGTTCTGTCTGTCTGAGGAGAGCAGTGGACCCTTTCCCAAGAAAAATGCTGATTCATTCAAACTTGCAAACAGTTTTGGACTCATCACAAACTTCACCACTTAACCCCTCCTGTGGCAGCTTTAGAACATCCCTCTTACAGTTTCAGAATATGTAAGGCTGTTTGTTGACTGTTACTTGATTTTATCTCAAAATAGTCAACCCTGCAGTTTAAATACATTCATCCTCTCTGACACTTCCTGATTCCAGTAGGAAGGCCTTGCTATGTGTGTGTTTGAAATAGCATTTTAATATTAAAAGTGAATGATTAATGTATTATTTGTACCTTATCACTCTTTATTTCATGTCCAACTTTGATGACCTGAAAAAGAAACAGTAGAAAATGGAGAAATAATATAGGAATGTTTATAGGTACAACTTTAAATTGAGAAGTAAGTATCTGAAGCTATTTTGTACTCATTTTAAGCCATAGTTTTAAGATAGGGGTGGGGCTGATGTATGGTGGGTGGGAAACAGAGATAAGGGGAGAAAGGGTGAGTGGGCTGCATCACTTTTATTTATTTACTTATTATTTATTTATTTTTAATTAATTACTTAAATTTTTTTTTTGAATTTACATCCTAGTAAATTTTTTTTGAATTCAAATTTTTTTTGAATTTACATACTAGTTAGCATATAGTGCAACAATGATTTCAGGAGTAGATTCCTTAATGCCCCTTATGCATTTAGCCCATTCCCCCCTCCCCCACAACCCCTCCTGAAACCCTTTGTTTACTCTCTTTATTTATTTATTTATTTATTTATTTTAGTGTTTATTTATTTTTGAGACAGAGAGAGACAAAGCATGAACGGGGGAGGGTCAGAGAGAGGGAGACACAGAATCTGAAACAGGCTTCAGGCTCTGAGCTGTCAGCACAGAGCCCGACGTGGGGCTCGAACTCACGGACCCCGAGATCATGACCTGGGCCGAAGTCGGCCACTTAACCGACTGAGCCACCCAGGCGCCCCGCCCTCCCTACTCTCTATATTTAAGAGTCCCTTATGTTTTGTCCCCCTCCCTGTTTTTATATTCTTTTTGCTTCCCTTCTGCGTGTTCATCTGTTTTGTATCTTTAATTCCTCATATGAGTGAAGGCATATGATATTTGTCTTTTTCTGGCTAATTTCGTTTACCACAATACCCTCTAGTTCCATCCATGTAGTTGCAAATGTCCATCACTTTTAAAAGTGAGATTACATATATCTGAGGATCCTGATAGGGTGAACAGCATAAAGTATATGATGCTCCATAAGGAGCTATCATAATTAGTTATTGATTCACACCTGTTTTCTTCTAGATGTTTTATATGTTTAGACCTTACCCTGATCCATTTTGAGTTGCTTTTTGTTTATGGTATGAGGCAGAGGTCCACATTTATTCTTTTGCATGTGAGTATCCTAGTTGAGCACATCCTTTTTTCAAATTTTATTTTGTTTATTTATTTTGAGAGAGAGAGAGAGAGAGAGAG